CGGTCCGAACTAGGTTACGTTCTCTCTCTCTCTCTCTCTCTCTCTCTCTCCACTCGACGATGCGACGCCACCACGGTTGGAATTATGTCGGGGCGCAGCGTGAAGGAACGTGGTGCAAAACGCGCAGCAAATACGTGCCTGGTTCACCCCCCCTGGATCTGGAGGATTTGCTCGCGCGTTTTCTGCGTGTACCGGCAATTCACGCCGATGAGAAATCGGCCAACCTGGAAAGATTATACGTGAGCTGTGTGCCAAGTCCTGGGGAAGGGAGATGGCCAATTTCCTCCAGAGAGAGAATGGAACGGAATCCTTCTTCTCCTCCTCTTCCTCTGTCCCCCGACGCCGGTGGGAAGAACCATCGCCACGCTCTAAAATTCGTTCACCTTCCCTCCCGTTCATCGTTCATCATAATTTTTAAACTCGAAAAATTTCTTCGCTCGAAGTCTTCGTTGAGTCGTTGTTACTTCGAAAGAGAGAAGTATAAGCAATTTTCGATTTAGACTCAGAAATCAAGATACGCTATACTCGATTGTTTCCTCGACGAATCCATTCCGATCGAGCAAAGGCGATCGAATCTTGGAAGGAATCGAACTCTCGTTCTCTCGTGTCGTACTCGGTCGGCGGATAGAGAGAGAAAGAGAGAGATCGATAAGCCAGGTAGAACGCGATTCCATCCGTGTTACAAAGTTCTATCGAGAGCGTGGCGCGAATTAGTCGGGTTGGTCGCGCTCCTAGAATCTGGTAAATGAAATTCCTGCGAACCCACCGTGTCAAGTGACTTTGATTTCTGCATGGACAACCGGACCACCTCCCTCCCTCCCCTCCCTCCCTCCCTCTCCCTCTCTCTCTCTGGCAAAGGGATCGATTCAGCTCGCCTTGGCCGCAGCAGTCCTGTCAGGAATTCGCGCGACGTCGCGCGTCGTATCCGGTTCCCTCGCGTTGGAAAACAATTTGAAAGAGCGCGTGTTCGAGGGAGGAGGATTCGCCCGAATCAATTCGAATTTCCCTCGAAATTCCTGGCAAGTCGAGCAACGCTCCGTTTCATATTTTAGGATAAAGCGCGGTTCGACGAGATTCGACGTCACCCAGCAGGATACGTGTAAATATCCATCCTCAGGGATTCGCTCGGGGAATCGTCTTGGGGAAACGCACACCGTTTATTTTTCACCCGTCCCTTTGCCTCGTCCTTTCATTTTTTACGCGTAACGCGAGAAAAATTTCACCGAGGGAAATTCGTTATCTAACTCTATCCTCTACGACGTCTCGGTATTAAGCCTTTCTTTCATCTCTCCCGGCAACAACGCGTCGAAAAATTGAAATTTCCTTCGAAAATCTCTCCTTCTTACCTTCGGGTAAGAGGAATCTCAATTATATTCGCGGATGATCTCGAACATAACTCTTTGAAGCAACGCTCGCTCACTCCCTTGATTCACGATATCGCACGATTCGCGTCCAATCTTTTTTTACACTTTCGATCCTTTCAACGGCGAGTTAACGGCGAGAAAGAAAAGGAGAAAGAAAGAGAAACGAGTCGAAGATCGGACGAAGATCGCGAGGAGGAGGGAGAGGCGCGCTTGATCCTCCGGTTAATAAAACGTTAGGCGAGACATAAAGCGATACGATGATGTATCGCGGGGTGTAGACGGAGGCAGGCCAAGTAGCTGGTTCGGGCTACGTGTTGCGGCGAAAGGAGGAGGATGTGGGAGATGAAACGCGGGGCGGAGGAAGGAGCGAGCTACCTACACAAAGGAGCGAGAAACGTTATTACAGGGCGGAGAGCACGTTGGTGGCAACGTGTTGGTCCCGCGCGATAAGGCGTTCGGCGTGTATACGTGTGTTTATGACGGTGCGCGCGAACGAGGCACAACGGGTTGGAGAGAGGCGAAAGGGCGCAGCCGCGAAGCCATCCTCGTCTACTCCCGGCGGGCAGTGGTGGTAGGAGCGAGTGGTGGCAGCGCCGGCGTCGCTCTCGCCATCCTACCTACCGGTTCCAGCGCACCAAAGTTGGAGTAGGTCTCGTGCGAGGGTGCGGACCGCACACGGTTCCGCCACGCTTCTCTCGCGCCATTTCCTCCTTTTTTTCCCTCTCGGTGAAACGCGCGCGAACGGGGACAGAGCGCGCTTCCCCTCGATCGCGCCAAGGGAGCGACCGGCTGCCTCGAGGTGGTTCTTTTTTTTTTTCAACGGATAACGATAAGGAAGGAAGGAAGGAAGGAAGGTGGAATTTGGAAAGAATGATCGAGGAAAGGTGGATAAAAGGGGATAGGTGGCCGTGATCGAATGGTGCGAGCTGCCGAAGGATATCGTGAAACTATACGTGGTAACGACGCGTATGGGTGTGTGTGTCCCGCTATGATCCATCACGATTGACTCTCTCTTGTGTCACGCTCTTACGTACCAGGCGACGAACCAACACGAGTAAGTGCCGATTGCATCTCTTCTATGTCCCTTTATTACGCACCAAAATCATTCCCGTCGCGTTCCTTCCTTTACCCGCCTCCGTAATTCGAGATTTACACGCCATCGCGCTATATGTAATTATCTACAACGGTGCGGGATTATAAATCTCGTATCGTAAGAAGTCTTACTGGAACGAGGCAAAGAATAATAATATCGTTGACGAGCTTTTCGCGTTTCTTTTTTTTTGTTGTTGTTTCGTTACTACGTATTCTTGCATTTGCAAAAAAAAAAGAGAGAGAAGGAAGGAGAAGGAAAGAGAGTAATAAACGATCGACAAGAAGAAGGTTACGTACGAAAGTTGCGGATGTTGTGGATTGCTCGACGAGTATTTTTCGATTCATAGCGAGATTGATAACCGCGAACTTTGGGGATCTCGATCGAGGATATATACGTATATATAACTGTGGAATATCAAGGAATACTGTGGATAAATCTCCATAACGCGATAATCGATCGTGTGGAATAAAATTCGCGCGTAAAGAGAAAACGCAATCCATCTTTCGGACCGTTCGAACGAGGGGGAGGAGGATCGAGTGGTTCGAGAAAATGTTTCGATATAGATCCTCGTGGATAGCGTTTAACACTATCATCGTGTTAAAAATTAAAAGTATCGTTCAACTTTCCCTCGTTGACCTCGCATCTTCCGAGCAAAAGATTACGAGCCGTCTGTTTAATTACGCTTGTTGATTATTCGTTCTCGAGCCGCGTCTTCGATCGAAGCAATTTCCAAAATGGCATTCCTTCGACGTATCTTCTCCTCGAGCGAGCATTTTTCAAGAACGAGCGTAACAGAAATTGAAACTCGGGCAACGTCGCGTCGCGGGCCTCGAATCAATTTGTTACCACGTTGTGAAAGAATTATAAAATCGACTGTATCCCCGGCCTGAATTCGGGAAAGAAGAAGAAGAAGAAGAAAGTTCAACCGATTCCCAAGTTACGATGCGATACGTATCCTCGATACCGTATCCCACGTATTAAAGGGACGTGGCAACCGAGCGATCCCGAGCACGTACACCCGCGAGATCGTATAATGCAAGATCGTGGTCGTTCGATAATTTCATTTCGTCGAACAAATTTTCCTTCGGATATTACGCTTTTGCTCGCCTTCCTCCTCTCGCTCTTCTTCTTCTTCTTCTTCTCCCTCTGTCGTCCGCGCGGAAGAAAAAAAAAGAAGGGGAGGAAACGAAGACTCGAGAGCAATTCCAGTCAACGAACGAAACGTCGAAACGAAATTCCGCAATTTTCTATAACGACGTTGCGCGGCATGAATTTAATTCTCCAGTGATTATTATTATTATTATAGCGAGCGGATGGCGAAACGCACTCGACGAGCACAAATTTTCACGAGCCCGATATTCGCGTTTCTTCTCGACCGTCGGTCGAACGCGACACTCGAATCTCACGCCGCGCTCATCGACGCAACAATAGGAAGGGGAGAGACATTCTGCGAAACATTCTGTTCGAACGTACGTGCGGATATATCGATGCGTGGTTCGGATTTTCGGACGTTCGCGCGTCGCTCGTCCGTTTTCGATTCTGTCCGTTCGTGCCTCGCCGCTATTCGCTTCTGTATAAAACTTTTAATAGAGGAGGGGAAAAAAAAAAAAAAAGAAAATAAAAAAAAAATATGCCAGTTCCGTGCGAAATAAAAGTGTATATACGGATTGGAGCGCAGCGGTGCGGGAGCCATCATCAACCGGGCGCGCGCGGATCGGATATTGAAAATGGCGGGGACAAAACGATTTCTCACGGCATATATTAATCGCGCGCGTCTTGATAAAACGGTCACCGAGTTTTTACGCGCTTTTTCCGCGCGTAAAAATTCCCCCCGTTTTCGAATGAGAGTTTAATCACCTCTGAAATATTGAGTTTTCTACGACCAGTTTCCCTGCTCGTCACTTTCACTCCGATGAATATTTTATCGCTCGGATTTTCAAACTGTTCTTTTTCTCTCTCTCTTTTTTTTTTCTTCCTTCTCGATCAACTGCTCGACAACTCGTCGACGATTTAATTCGCTTCGAGAATCGTCGAACACCTCTGTCTCCAGATATTCTCTCTCTTTTCCTTCGCTTTCGATCATTCCCTCTTGTCTTTTCCCCATCATTTTAAAGAGAAAGGAAGAAGAGAAAGAGACGAGCCCAGTAATAATCGGGACACGAGCGCTTGAAAAATCCATATAATCGCGCGATAACTCGAGGCGGGGCGGCAACTATTTTCCCGACTACTTTGCCACCACTAGGCCTTATCTCGGCCTGCTACCCAACCTTTAATTTGCGCGTAACACGAGCGAAAGTGATTCGCTCGCAGCGAATTTTCCACTCTTCGTGACGGACGCGACATCTTACACCTTCGCCTACCTCGCCGATTCGAATCGACGCCCTTTCTACGTGCATCCGTATGCTGAAAACTGTACGAGAAAAAGAAGGATGAAAAGTGACGAGCCGTTCTCTCCGTGTTAAAATTCGTGTTCGAAAAGTGTGTGTATGTGTACGTGTAAGAGCGTGGATTTGGATCGTCCCTTCCGCCGTGAATTCCGCCTCTTGTTTACCGAGGAAAGCGATCGTAAATATTTACGACGGGGGTGGAGGGGACTGCTCGTTGGGAAATTTTGATCAGGCGAATCGATAACGACTCGGTTTTGCACGGATTTCCGGTTACACAATTGTTGGTTACAAGGGTGTGCGTGTCGCGTACGATTCTCGTTCTCGGCGAATTACGTTCGGTTAAATTCCCTTTAAATTCATATATATATATATAATTTCATCCCGTTAAATCGGAACGTAAGACAGCGAGATAATTAAACCGTTTATACGCTCGCATCGTCACCGTTTACCCGTATGCCCTTTCCAACGCAGTATCTCGTTTCGCGGACCAATTTGTCGTTCGATTTTTCCATCCTTACCCCAGACCTGTGTATACATACCTGAGCCTGAATACGCCTGAAAATGGTTCGATTTCGAAACGAAGCCAGCAAGGAAAGTAAGAAGGGTTAAGGAAAATTGAGTAAGATGACGATGATGATAATTCTGTAAACTGCGATAACGATTTATGTAAACAGATCGTTTGATATCGAACGATATGTATATTTTAGCGAAGGGATGCTGGAAGCAATAAGGGTGGAGGTTTATTTCCTGTTAAAAAGGTGCTTGATGAAATTCTCCCAGCGTACGCGATAAATTTCAATAGAGGAGGCGTCGTTCCATTAGGAGGGAAAAGCGAGACTTATTTTCGTCGCTCGAAGAGATTTATATACATATATATATATATATATGTATTTACTTATATCTTTGATTGTGATTTTCAAAGTTTCGCGGACGACGAAACGCGGAGAAAAATCATTGGTGGAAAATGAGGCAACGAAACGTGTTTCTTCGTGTTCAAAAGAATGTAAATTGACTACTCGTAGGCGGATGGATGATGAACGAAATATAGCGATTGTTTTCGGAAGGAAGGAGAGAGAGAGAGAGAGAAGAGGACAAAGATGGAACGGTTTAGGAATTCGAAAGAATGATTAGAAGGGAGCGTGTAATTACGATGGAGCAAATAGAGTGGAGAAGATATAGATTTAACGAGATAATTTATTGCTTCTAAAAACGAGGATATTTTTTCGAATGGTATTTACGAACGGTTGAAAATAAGAAGAATAATCATCGTGATTCGTACGCGGGAATCGTTCGCCAGGATGGACGCATTCCTCGATTATAACTCGTCGAATAGAAAAATACGCAATGATGGGCGAACGAAGCCATCGTTCGTTATTTATCGGAGACGATACACTTTCGCGCGTTCACGAAGAGCTTCGAAACATTGATAACAATTTAGTTATAAATAGAGGGAAGTGTCGAGATGCGCGAAATTGTACGAATTATATCGTACGTATTTCTATGGATTTCTGTGGATAAAGTATCGTCGGTGTCATTCGTTCTCTTCGAACATTATTTAAAAATTCGATATAATAATTTTACCGATTCTATTAAATCTTTATTCACGCGTTGCTTATTCTCTCTTTATATTCTTTCCCCTTTTTCTTCCTTCTCACACAAATTTCTCCTACGTAAATTCGAAAGAATAAAATTCGCACGGCTTTTATATATATATATATAGAGCTGCCGTAAAGCGAACGCCGTAATGTTCTTTGACAGGTACATCGTACGAAACGTTCGAAGAATAAGAGAATCTACGATCTCTCGGTTTCAACGTCTTTGGACGTTACTTATCCTCTACGTACACCTCTCCTCCGTTCCATCTTCCCCAAAATACACGTAAATTTGCAGCGGCGTAGCTCGCGAAAACGTAACCTCGTGAAAGTTTTCTTCGGGCGATCGTGGCGCGTACGTGAGAATGCGCGAAGACGAAAATGCAAATGAGAGACGGAAAGCGAAGAAACGAAAGCCTCGGTCATATTTTGCGCGTCGTAAATCACAATGAATATCTTCCCGGCTTTTTGACGCTTTCGCCTAACGTCTTAAAGCGTCGTAACTATTAATTATCGAGCGGAATAAGCGGTGCAGGGTCACGTAAGTCTGGGATATACATCTGTCGCGAAAGCAGGCCACGTTCGAGGAATAAATTTGCAGGTAAAAAGGAGGAGAGGAGGAGAAAATCGTACACGAACGAGAGATTAACGCCCGTTCGAAAAATTATTATTACGCGTGGCGATCGCGTTTATCTTTGAGATGTCGGTGTCCAAATGTTAGAGAGATTTTTTTTCACTTGCGAAAATTATTTCTTTTCAATTGAACGAATTTCAACGAATGCAAAGATCCTTCTATAAATGATCGTGAAAGAAGATCGAATCTTCATTGAACGATTTTCTTTGTTTTTATCCTTGTACTGTATACATCGCTTATATATACAATATACAAGTGTTACATATAGGTAAAAAGAAAATAATCTTTGTATCCTTTAGGGGATAAGAGAAGGGAGTTTATTTATCCGTTTAAAATTTAAAAACAT